TTTATTAACTGCAGGGGAAAACAAAGTAAAAACCAAAACAGAAAACAAACAGAGCTAAGACTCTGACACACAGGCTTGAAACAGAAAACGGACTCTGACACAATACAGCCACGTAGAGCTTGCATCAGTCCCGTAACACCACTTAATAATCCTCCCAGAGAGGCGTGGGGAAGGCGTATAAATAGCCCTCAGGATGGGCAACAGCTGTGTGTGTGTGAGTGTGTGCCACCGCCTTCCACCGCCTCGGGAGAACTGCGAGCGGGCACCGCCGCTTCCGGAGCCTTGTGAGCGGACACCGCCGCCCCGGGGAAACTACGAGCGGACACTGCCGCCCCGGGGGAACTGAGAGCGGACACCGCCGCCTCGGGGAAACTGCGAGCGGGCACCGCCGGTCAGTCCCGTAACACCACTTAATAATCCGCCCAGAGAGGCGTGGGGAAGGCGTATAAATAGCCCTCAGGATGGGCAACAGCTGTGTGTGTGTGTGAGTGTGTGCACAGGTGTGTGGAGTCAAGGTAACGGAGTCCGGGAGGATGGGAAGTGGCGACCTCTGGTGGTGAGAGGGAGAACACCATACCCAGACCCCTGACATTCTGTCTAAGAGCCCAGATGAATTAAATTGGAAACACTTGAAAACAAACCTGGGAGTGTAGAAGTCCTACACGCTCACTGGCATCCACCAGTTCCTGCTCAGCCACTTTGCGGCCTCTCTCAGTCTGCTCTAGAGCAGATCTCAGCTCCTCAATCTCGGCCTGCATTAGGTTGTTCCTGCGTTCAACCATAGCAACCTGTTCTTTCAAGTCCTCTTGACCCCTCAGAGCATCAAGGTGCAGTTGGGCATCCTATTAAAAGACGAATAACTTGTTTCAATGGAATAAGTACTTAAGAAGATGAGGTTCAGCTCCCAGCTGAGGACAACTGGAACTTTTACAAGAGCTCCACGATTTTACCTTGAGCTGTCCTTGGACGTTCCTGAGATGTTTCTGAGCTTCAGCCACCTAGCGATTTGCATGGTTCATGCTGAATCTCCATCTCATTTAGGTCTCCTTCCATCTTCTTCTTGACTTTTAGGGCTTCATTTTTGCTCCTGATCTCAGAGTCTAGAGTGCTGTGCATGGAATCAATCACTCTTTGGCTATTCCTTTTCATCTGTTCTATTTCCTCATCTTTCTACGATCAATCTCCCATTTTACTTGGCTTAGCTCAAGCTGGATACGTATAATCTTAGATTCCTCATGTTCCAGGGTTCCCTGTTGACCAGTAGAAGAGCAATAATCAGTTAACATTACAAAAAAGCAGTTTTGTAAAGTATTATATTATAGTTATTCAGAAAAACTTCAGCTTACCTCAGCTTCCTCAAGAGCGGTCTGGATTTCTATTTTCTCTGTTTCGACTGTCTTCTTGGCTTTCTCCAACTCATGAATGGTCTTCCCAGTCTCACCAATTTGTTCAGTCAAGTCAGAGATTTCCTCTATGAATAATATAAAAATGAGAGTATTCACATGCAAGCATAGAAACTGTCTCTCTCTCATCTGCACTTTGTAATTGTGAAAAAAATCTTACGTTGAAGGTTTTTGTTCTCCCTCTTGAGGGTATCCAAATGGTCCAGGGCTTCTTCAAAGGAGTTCTTCATCTTAAAAAGCTCTGTACTAAGGGAACGGGTCTCTTTCTGAGCTCCTTCCAGTTCTGCTTGGCTTTCCTAATACTTTTGCCTTCCACTCTGCCAGAACCTTGAAAAAAGTCAAATGAATTTGTGAGCAAAGACAAAGATTAGCAAAGTTTATGTTGTTGTATAAACAATCAGCAGCAATTAATACATCCTGTACCTTGTCAAAGTTCTGTTGCTTCTTGTCAAGATTGGCAGCAAGAACAATAGCTCTCTCCACATCAATCATGAGATCTTCAACTTCACCCTGCAGTCGTTGCTTGGTTTTTTCCAGAGAGGCACACTTTGAGTTCACAGCCTCAATGGATTCCTCAGCATGCTGTAAGCGCTGAGCAAGCTTTTTCCTAAGAGCAACGATGAAATGTTAGTCATTGCTTCTACTTTATTTCCTGTTGTGAGGACATTTAAACAGGTGATTTCATTTACTTTGCTTCCTCAAGCTCTTCAGTACGCTGAATGGCATCAGTCTCATATTTGGTTCTCTACTGAGCTTCCTCACTGTTGGCCTTCGACATGCCACGCTGGAGCTCAGCTTTGGCCTCCTGTTCCTCCTCGTACTGCTCTCTGAGCAGATTACAGTCATGTCGTGCTGACTGAAAAGCAACAAAAAGCATTATTTGCTAATGTTGCTAATACCCGCTACGAGACACTTGTTCCAAAACACTAAACAATTATCTTGGTTTCTTCCTCAATGTGTCTCTTAAGCTCCTCAATCTGCTGGGTGAAAGCTTGCTTGCCTCTAGTCAACTGAGAAACAAGAGCCTCTTTTTCCTCTAGCTGACGACTGAATTCACCTTTTAAAAGAAAACAATTCCATGAATCCTTGAAAATGTAGGCAAAACCTTTAATTTGGAGTTTGAAGTGTGGCTTTGTACTAAAACATACCATTCTCTGTAGCCAGTCTTGCTTTTTGTGCACTTATCTCATTTAGTTGACGGATTGTTTCATCGTTTTTGGTTTTAATTTCACTCAGTTGATCTTCAAGAGTACGGCACATCTTCTACAAGTTACCCTGAAAGGAAAATTGCTATAAATATGACTGTTGTATTAAAAACGCAATATTCAGGAAAAGCAATTCTCGTGCCTTTGATTTGGCGACATCTGGGCAGCAGTGGCACCACCTGCTTCTTCAAGCCCCTCGCTGATCTCCTCAAGTTCCCTGGAGAGATCAGGGCCCGTATTCACAAAACATCTTAAGGCTAAGTAGCTCATAACTCGCTAATTTAGGAGAAAATCTTAAAAATAATGGGCGTTTCAGTCCTAAATTGACGACTCCTAATTTTTTGCTCTAAAAGTATTTCACAAAGTGTTTTAGCACTAAAACTAGCTCCTAAATCTGTGAAACGTTAGGAGTAGTGAAGAGGACTCCTAAGTCACTAAGACCAAGCCACAAACTATCCTAAAATGGCTGTTGCCGGCAATCTCCATCAGAACATAAACATTTTAGAAATATTTGACGATAATGAGCTTTTATAAAGGTATCATCTTTGGTTTTGGAGGTTATCCCAACTCCAGATTTTCCTTTGATTATATTGTTGTTTTCATTAACTAGCTGGGCAAGAAGTAACAGCTGTGCTTGTGTCCAGTTTGGTTTTCTTTTATGTTTGCATGTCTTACTATCAGCCATGATTATTCTACTTTGTTAATTAAAAGGCTGTTTATATGCATATTCACCAATTATGAGAAGCATACATGTAAGAGGTTGACAATTAGCTGAACATATACTTTAGCTTGACACTTAGCCTGCATTTTAAAATCTTTATTTGAATGTGGCAATTAACATTTTTATTTTTAACATTTATTTGAATATGGCCACATAATATTGCACTCTACAATATGTCTATGAATAAATCAATCTCTAACAGAGACCCCTCCCCTATCAGCCAATCACTTTGTGCATAGTTAGTAAGCATGGTGACATCATCCATAGCAACAAGGTCAACTCCGCCCTTACTCTTAGCTTAAGACCTTAGGTTTAACCTCTTGAGACCCTGCATCCTCATATGAGGACATTATATTTTAGTGAATTTCTCTGAGACTACACATGACACAGTTTTAAGTCTGGATGTCCTGTACAGAGCACATTCAGGGCTTTTCAGAGATACTAAATGTTTGGATGTTTCACCATGACCACTCCCTCTCCTTGGTCTTCAAAAATGTCTGATATTAATTTAGTGACACTCTTATGGAAATATGATAATATTTTGTAATTATAAAAAATAAATCCTGAAACCTAAAAATGTATTGGTGATTTAAAAAATAATCTATTGTTTTTGCCTATGCGTGTTCATTCATGTCTTTTTATTTTTTATTTTTTAATTGAAGCAAGTAATCTACCAAGGACGTAGCATAACTTATGAATGAAATATAATTTTTACATTTTTTTTAATGCTCTAAACAATGTAATGACATGAAAAAAAATACTAATTTTTTCCTAAAATGTTTTGCCGGGTCTCAAGAGGTTAAATACAATAGTTGTTACACTTATGTGATCCGAAGAGAATTATTTGACCTGTTTTTTTTATGGTACAGTAAGGGCAACTTCATCTCTGCCAGCTTTATTTCTTGACCCATCTCTTGTGGTTGTCAAAGAACCTCCCATCAGTTCAACAAGGGATCAAATGATTTATCCCAATTACACTCAGAGTTTCCTTGGGATGGGAAACAAGATAGGGGCTCTGTAAAAGGGGAAAGTGCTGTAAAAATTCTCAAGAGGTTACTCACAAGGGTGAGCTCATCTCCTCAATAAAAAGGGATATATGATATTTCAGATTTCATATTATCATCTTATAAGGATTAAGAACAAATATAGATGCACTCATGCAGCTGCCCTTCGAAAACAACAAAATATACAAGAGCCTGAAGGGAGAACAGATAGATGAGTACATTTATTTGATCTCATTTTAATTATAAAAAGAGAAAAAAGTTGCAAGATGTAAACATGAGATTGCTATCAATTCTTTGCTATACTACAAAAAGAGAAAACGGATCAAACTAAATAACAATACTTTTTATAAAAGTATTGCCAACTCCAAAATATTAGTCAAATAGTCTTATTTGCTTTAATAAAGGTGTCTTATTCTCCCTAAGTCTGTGCAATAAATGGCAGATTCCTAGATTTGTTTTTTAAAAATTGAAAATAAATCAAATTAAATAAAGGGAAAAAACATTATATTAACACCAATTTCTTAATTAGGATACTAACATATGGTAGTTTATACACATCATGTGACACAGAAGAAAGGTGAGTTACCTGACCTTGGCTGTGTGGATAAACAACTAAAAATAGGTAACTTCTACTACTATTTGAATTTCTTGTGATGAGATTTTTTTAAATATCATAAAAAGGTGTTGCATATCAAATAATTAAAAGTACAGGGGGCTGCATATCAAATAGTTACTGATCCTTCTCAGGGGCTCTTCAAATATGGGCCATCATTGTATTGTACAGACTGTAACATTCAAAATGTACAGAAGGCAGACTGCAACAAAACTTACCAAAATAAGTAATTGAACCTAAATTGAAAGAGCGGTCATTCCCACCGTACACAACACAATACAAGCAATAAAGGGATTTATTTAGCATCATCATTATTTTGCCATGACTGATATGATTCGTAAAATCCATGTGCACCAGCGTGGTTTTTTTTTTTAATATCAAAACTTACCTTGAAAAATCTGAACACAGTATACATATTTATAAAAAACACAGACAAAACAAACCGTCTAAATGATTGGACATTGAACATTTTTCCTTAGTGCTCATGAGCATCAATAAAGCTTCATTTATATAGACCCACCCTGATTTTAAGGTTTATTAGAAAGGCAGAGGTAAAATGAGTCTATCCTTTTTAATATGTACAGTACCTACTCATTAATATTCATGAGCACGAGGGAAAAAGCAGAGGCATATTCAGAATATTGCAACGTTGTGAGCGCTTCACTACTACTAAATAATAACAAAGGGATTTGGGATGATGAACAGAGACAATACACAAATGGAATTGCAGAGTGTGAAGAAACTAAATTATTTTAAAACAAAATTAGGCCATTAGCACAAAAAAACGAGAAAAAAAAAGTCAAACAAAGGAATAAAACAATAACAAAAGGAGTACTGTGGCTGTCTGTGAAAGCCATCAGTTTGCTCTTGAGTTACAATACTGCAATACTCTGAATTCACTCCTGTGACAAACGACACCCTCTGGATCCAGCTGTTCCACCTTTGCTGGTGGTCCAGGAAACAAATCGCACCTTAACTACTTCCTCCATAGCCCCACAGCTCTCCATCAGTTTTTATGGCATCCAATGTGACACAGGTATTGCAGCCAGTAGAAGGTGTACTGATAATTTCCTAAAACTGTTGAGTACAAACAGAATACAGAGTAAGAGAGTATGCTGGTGTGACACTGAACTTTTCATTCTATTAAATCATGTTCCAGAGAGACTCACATTTTTGAGGAACTCCTCTGCAACTATGCGAGCCCTGGCGTTGACTGACAGTTTCATCTCACTGATTTCCTTATCGATCTCCTCCATAAAATGGATGACAAAGTCCACTAACTTATGCTTGTACATTTGTTCTGTGTGGAAGTTAGTAATGAGGAAACTGATGTCATATCCCTGACAAAAGAAAGGAGGGTTATTCACTGTTAAAATATCATATTACATGTAGACATTTCACAACAAAGAACTTAAGATATTTGTTGGCAAAAAATAAAAATGAACTGCGAACACAAAGCTTTGTAATCACAGAAACAGGCCTAGTGTTTTTGTACGTTTCTCCACTCGCTCTCACCTCGACAGGTTTTCTTCGCAGGATGAAGAAGTTCTCAGCTCTCATCATCATGAAGCGCATGAACTTGTGACACAGGATCTTTTCAATCTCATCAGCCTTCAATGGACCAGTTGAGATGCATCATCCAATCACAGACCATTAAAGACAGAAACAAGCCATCAAACTGGATTCTTAGCTTGTTCTATTGAAACATAAATCGCATACCTACTGGCCTTCCGCAGTGGTTCTCAACCTTTGTGACTCAAAATGCCCAAAATCACCAACACAATATTCAAAGGACCCCCTTTACCAACATATTGGTATTTATATTTTTGGTATTTCTGCTGTAATTATGAAAAAATGCTTGTTTTCCAATTTCGATATATTAAACTAATCAATTACGAATACACCTTGCTTGTTTGCGTTTTAATAGCGCATGACTATTTTAAAATATAAATGACAATTTATTCAATTTAAATCCCGCTGCCCCCTTGGAAATTTGCTGAGGCTCTTTAGTGGGCCCCTGGCTGAAAACCACTGGCTTTCAGTGGACTGCATGTGTTGAGTCAGAGTGAAACCAACCTCCCTCTCTTGTCTCATCACCACCACAATACTTCTCTTTTTGTATTAGAACATTTTCAGTTTTCAATATATAACAATATTTCAAGACCCATCTCTGAAAGGATAGAAAGAGTGAGTTTAGGGTAAAACAACGAGTGTTCTAACCTGTTTGACAGCAATGCTGACTCGCACAGAGTTGATGGAACCTTCTATTAAGACCTTCTCTTTATCATTCCTACTGATTACAACAGGCTGAAGCAACAGCTCCTTACTGCTCCTGTTGAGACAAGACAAAAATAGTCAAGCATACACACAAACATTCTGCATACAATGCCGTATAAATAGGCTAAGTGTCTATTGCAGTCTGCACCACAAGTGGTTTTAAACTGGCATGCTGAATCACCATCAAATGGCCTAAAATCTGCTGCATAACAACACTATCAGGGGTCTCATGATGTCATGCATTTAAGGACCACGAGCAAAACAAAAAACTTAATATAAAACTAAACCCCAGATGCTCATGAGTAAAACATTAGAAATTCTCATATGTCCACTATTTCTTTAAAAGCTGAAATGAAATTTTGAAGAATATATTGAATTGGTAGGTTAGGTTTGGCTGTTTACTGCAACTTCTGCAAGTATTCGCTTTCAAACTATCTACCTCATATTGTTCATATTGCAAACATTTAAAAATGTTGATGTTAAAGTTTTTAACCAGCCAGATGTACGCCACTGACCTATATGAATCATGTAACGTTTACACACAAATAAAACACATATGCAAACAGTCACACACACTTACCGGACTTCAACCTCAGGTTTGTTGTGTCTTTCAACCACCTGCGAGGAGAAGTTTTCCAGACAGAGAGCTGCCTGCAGTGTAGCACGCACCGCATTCAGGTATGGGCGCAGAGTCGCCGTCTGATGAAACGAATCAAACTAAATCAGTACTCAGGATGAACCATGTCAGCTACCTTACAGCAAGCAAGCACTTAGCAAATGGCTCACAACTTCCACTCTATTTGTTCCACACACGCCTGAACCTGCAGGGGAATTCTTGGGATACTGTACTTCTGCACAAGTCCTCCAAAGAAAAAAAAAAACGATGCTGTACACATTAAGTGGCTCAGTCAACCCGCAAACACCAAGAATCTTTTCATAGACTGCACACTTCTGAAATCTTACACTTCCTGAACTTAAATTCAAGACATTGAGGAAGTGCAAAACCTGCATGAAAGATGATGAATATTAAAACACTGACCTTGTTTAGTATTATGTGGGCTGCCTTGAATTCAGAAATAGCTCACTGCATAGAACTAGACTCTAAAACAGACCGTTGCCTGTACACATCATTAACATACCTAAAGCAAGTTAATATTGTTATACTGATAGCTGGGATAAGCACCTATGACATGTTGTGGTGTGCATAAGCAAAACAAGTAAATATCACAGAAGTAACCAGCAACTAGATCAACAGAATTTGCACTTATACGCCCGTTTATTCAAATGCGTAACAGTACAGAAGAAACAAAATTTGTAGCACGACACTGGTTTGCCTATTGATTATTTGCTGGCCATCGATTAAAATTCAATATGAAACAGGTCAGTTTGAGTTGGTTTGCCCATAATACAAAAACCCTGGATTTCAGAGCGCTGGCATTTTTAATAGATATTAAATTGTCAAATCAATATCAGTCAACCCGCGACTGGGGAATAAGGGTGGGGATGTTAGCAAGTGAATTAGCTCTACGAGCCGACTGAGCAACTTCATACCAACGCAGAAACAAACACCAGCAATCAGACATTTGCGTCACAACAGTATTATCATTCATGTAATAAAAATTATATATACAAAACACAGTTTGTCTTGTTTCCCGAAGTGCTGAAAGGCAATCCTACCATTTCTGTGTACCCGTTGCAGCCGAAGACGGAAGTGCTACAAACACCGGGCGACTTCCGCGAGTAACGCCACTCATCTCATTGGAAGATACCAACTTTTCACCAAGTAGGGGGCGACGACTGTAAAATTCGACCTGATTTTTCTGTACCTACTGTTTCTAGTCGAAGACATCTTGATACTGAAAGGGGCTAACATGCCTGTATTATGCTTCATTCGCTGACATTAATGCTTACTATGGACTTTACTTGATACAAACATTTTTTTGCAATGTTGTAAAAGAGGAGGTTCTTGTCAGTTTGTAGTGGTGGCAGAACTTAAACTTTTTTTTATTTGTATTCACAGTACTATTGTATCTAAACTGCTTTACCACGTAATATTTGTGTATCATATTTAAAATCACATTTTGCATGAGGGTCTTTTTTAAAGAGCTCCGCAGGGATTTAAAAACAGCAGTATGGGGAAAATTTAGGAACATACATAAAAAAACATTAAAAGATAAATATTATTGTCAAAACATTATAAGATTCGGCGAATAAAAAAGTTTAGATCTCCAACAACTTGATTAGATCCCAGATAAGTAGTTTTAAATGTATTTCCCTTTTTATTGGTGATTTCAAATGATTTTTGTGCATGCACCCTTTACTGTTTACACACAAAGTGCTCAAGGTAATATTAAATTGAATCGTTAATCTAATCTTGCATATATTTACGCTGTTTAAATGAACAGGTTAAAAGGCATCCCCATTAAACACCCGTCAAGAAGGTTGTGCAGCCATTTTTATTTAAAAATCAGATTTAATTTGACTTTTTTTTTGCAGTTCAGCAACATTTCATATGGAAAAAAAACACAGTTCTAGCTTATATTCACAAAGCGTTAATCTTCGTCTAGTTAGCTAGTACCAAGTATCCTGTTTAGTGCAGCAAACGAAACAGTCACTTTCATAAAAAAATTTAAAAAGCATGACGTCCTGCAGCAGTGCAGAAACTAAAGTGGGTGCGTCTCTATGAAGCCGTTTCTAGAAGAACTAGCTACATCAAACCCTAAATGACAGCATACCTAAAGTCAACAAAAATATCAAAATATAAATAAATAAAAAAACGATTCCCCTTATCTGTGTCCTCTTTCCAATAAGCTATATACAAAAATTCTTCATTTTCACAGAAAGTCTATTTTGATTTCTTCGCCTTAGTTGCCTTCTTCACCGGGACTTTTGGCTTTTTTGCAGCTGCTTTCTTCGGTTTGGGTGTCGCCTTCTTAACACTCGTCTTCTTCGAGGTCTTCTTTTTAACGGGGCTCTTTTTGGCGCTCTTCTTTGCAGTCACTTTCTTGGTCGCATCTTTTTTGGACGCCGGCTTTGCAGGTTTTTCTGCCTTGGTCGCCTTGGAGGCACTCTTCTTTGGCTTTTTCTCAAATTTCTTCTTATTGAGTTTGAATGAGCCGTTGGCTCCCAGTCCCTTCACCTGCACGAGCGTGTCGTTGAGCAGGAGCGCGCGGATGGAGTAGCGCAGATACATGCGGCCGTTCTGCTGATCAAACCAGCTCACTTTCTTCGCTTCCTTGTATATCTTGAAAAGCGACGAGCCGTTTTTCTCGCCCAGGGTTCGGATCGCATCGATGACGAGCTGGCTGTACTTGCCGGGCCCCTTGCTCTTCTTTTTCTTCTTTTTAGCTGGAGAAGCAGTCACGGCAGGTTTTGCCTTATTCGCCGATGTCTTCTTCGTTTTGGTTGCTGCTGAAGCAGGGGCTTGGGCGGGTGCTGACTCTTCGACCTCAGCAGACATGATCAAATTTGATGCGTATATATGGGTGTTTCCGAGAACGAGAGAATATCAGCTCTAGCAAGCGAGCATTATCTCAGCGTTTTGAATCATCAGATTTAACTGCGCCACGCGGACGTGATTGAGAACAACAACACCGTCAGAAGAGGCGCTTGTGGAGTTGTGTTTTCTTCCATGACTTTGGGAGCTATTATCTTGTTAGTTTGACATATATTACTAAGTTAAATTATTCATATGGGAAGTGCAAAAGTAGCTCTTTCTGACAGTGTGCAAAAGTGGTGAAATAAATGCAAAATCGTGGCGCGAGAAAGCAAAGAAAAGATATTGTCCACACAATGCCTTGCGATTTTGGGTAGGGGCACTTACTTTGCGAACGAAAATCTTTTTATAGATATTGAGACCGTTCGTACAATAAACTTGCTGTGAAAATTTAGAAAGTAAAGATTCTAAAATTATACTACTCAGTCCGTGTTTACCAAACGCCCTCGAGATGCAAGCAGTTTAATTTCACTCAACTAACACATTATACGCCCTCCCGTGGCTGTGTATTGGCAAACTTTTTCTTTGCTCTTTTTTTCCTGGTGACTTAACACTGTATTCTTCTGCGCCTGTGTGTGAAAGTGATTTTTTTTTTTTTCTCGAATAAAAACATTACATTTTGAGTATTTGACCGTTGTATGGTAACTTACGTTAGTCAGCACACTTTTTATGTTTTAAACGGTTTATTATATCAAAGGTGTTGAGCTCAAATTGCTAGAATTTGATGAGTCTGACAACTCGTTACAGGAACATCTAGTCATGTTTAGCATCTCAAAGGATCTTTACTGCACTGAGCTGTAACATGAGCGGTAAAGATGACAGATTAGAGATAAACTAAAACTTACTGTGATTTCATTTTGACCATCTGGACAATACGAGTTGGTACAGTAAGGAGACCATAAAAACTATTACGGCATGAGACATATAGTTTAAATTATGCTAAAACACGATATGATAACAAATCAAAGTTTAGTTTAACAATGAGTCTAACTAACAATGGGGTATTTTTCTAAAATGTTGAGCAAACTCCGCCCCTATTGTGGCATGAGCTGTTAAAAACTTCAGGGGTCGCCACAGAATTAATTTGTATAGTTAGTCCTTCCACACAGGATACAGATTTGGTTAATATAACCATAACGTGATACTTCTGAGAGTTTCAAAACATATTTCAAAATATTTCAGAGAATAATAAATAATACAATTCAGAGAATTTAAAAATTTTCAAAATAATTCACTTTCTCCTCTAAATGCCTTTATCCCAGACATTCAGCACTAGATGGCAATCTATACCTACTGATAATGGTTTGTGTTGAAATTTTATAAACACATACAAGGTGTTCGCATCTTCCAAACCTTGTAGGTGTAACACATAATACCAGGGCACAGATCTCTTAAATGTAATACAAATTGAAAATGTATGTCTTACTTTTCTGCACCCCGATGAATTACACTTTGATGAGGAAATAACCCAACATAGTGATTTTTGATCTGTTCATTACCCGCCTGCAGGTGAGTCATGCGTTGACTCTAATATGCATGTTGGCACATTTACAGTTACACAGTTGTTATAGCACCCAAGCACACAAAGAGCAAACACCTCACAAATAAAATAGGTCTAACACCTTCCCGCTTGAGACAGAGAAAGGTTAAAGGTCAAAGTTTAGCAGAGGTCACCCTATTCAAAAGATTTTTCTCCTTCCCTGCCCGTGTGTATGTATATATATTAGTATGCGACTGTCTGTCTTTTAATAAGAGTGTTAAAAGAGGAATTTTAAAAGAGGAAAAGTTTTTATGACCCTTAACAAACTCAATAAACGTTACACACACTCCAAAACAGGACACACACAGTAAAAAGGTTGAGTTAAAACCTGATGAAGATGTTTATCTTTGTATTTGAATGTGATTGTATGAGAGAGAGTGTTTATTTGTAGATCCTAGATGGATTTGATGGTGAAATTTCATGTGACCAGTTAGATGCTGAGTGTTTGCATGTGCATGTAGACGTATAGGAACAAGTGTGTGTATTTCTGTGTTAGGGGGTGGGTGTACCAGTGCATGTCAGACAGCAAAGAGCCACAGTTATCTAGGAATCTGAGCCAAAAGAGCCTCACAAACAGAAGAGAGTGTGCAGGAGAGTGAGAGGGAGGGATAGAGAAGATCAAATAAAAGAGAAAAACAGGAGAGGAGACTCTGACGAGTACATAGCGAGAAAGAAAGACAATGATAGACTGCAGATGATACTGATCTGAGGAGTGTGGCTAGAGAAAATTCTATTGAAGATAAGTAGTATAAAGTAGATACCGTTAGAGTAGATAGATAAATAGACACGGAACAGGTGCATACTATCTCTTTGAGCTCGTGTGGTGTCCTGAGCAGCATGTGTGTGCGTGTTTTTCCCTTGCTTTTGTTGGGAGCGTACATGATGTGTGTCCATGTGCTTTGACAGAGGGACATCCTGGTTGCTTTGCCACGCAACGGCAGATGTGAGGGGAGCTGCAGTGCAACAGCATCACCCCCTAAAATACATCACCCTCACTCTCAGGATTCGCGTGTTAGAAAGACTCCAGAGAACCACAAAAACGCACAGGTAACCATGACCTAAATGATCCGCGGTGAGAGATTTGAGAGTATACTGGGCACAAATATTTTTAAGTTACCCTTAAGATTAATAAATGCTGCAGAAGTATTGTTCATTTTTAGTTCATTTTAACTAATGTAGTTAACTTGGCATGCTAAAAAGTGAAACCTTATGTAGGTGTCTGTATATATAATGCATTTGTTTGTTTTTTCAATGTTATTAATATTTGTTGTTTTTATTTTGTGTATTGTAAAAAAATTATGTAATCTTTTCATGTGTTGGTAATATCCCAATAACAAGTAAAACGTTTGTGGGTGTGTGTAGTAGTGTAATATATATATATATATATATATATATATATTAGCATATGTTATCATTCCTGTATTCAATATTTGCCTGTTGAAGTGGAAGTGGTGATCTCTTAGAAGTGGTGAACGCCTCACTTCTTTCTGGGACTTTTCCAAACTCCCTGAAAACTGCAGTTGTTAAACCCCTTCTGAAAAAGAGCAATCTTGATAACACCATATTGAGCAACTATAGACCAATATCA